CTTAGAGGAAGAAAACACAATGATACAAAGCTACTTCCTCTTCAAATATCTTCTTAAATATTCTTTATCCATACTTAGACTTTCAAAACTTCCAAATCTCCTTATTTCAAATATAAGGAATTACCATCAAGGATCAGTTCCATAACAGAAATCTACACACATATCTATTGCAAGAATTAGAGCAGGGACGAGACAAAACAAAAACGAGTAGAGCATACCAATAGCAGAGCAGAGAAGGGAGAAAGAACCAATAAATCATACTTCTTGCAGTGATGGAAACCACTCTGGCATACCCATAGAAAACACGTAGAAGGAATGAAAGAGAAGGAAGAGCCAATAATCAAAAACAAAATTTGAATGTTTAGCTATCACAGTTGGCGCCTAAGTCCTACTTTTGAACTGAAGTGCTGATCTTTTCTACATGCAAGATACAGCCTTTGTTTTTGCATAAAGAAACTTCTCTAGCTCCCCTCTTTACTCTCTCGTCGTCCTCCCCCTTCTCTTTGCATGAGTGCTCTGTTTTATCACTGAAGCTCCCTCTTTCTCTTGCTGTGCATGTCTCCTTCTTCTTTTCTCTGAGTTTCCATTTGCATGTGTGTATGTGAATCTGCTATCTCTATCTTTCCTTGCATTTTCGTATGGCCAACTCTTTTGTGTATGCACCTACTCTCTGCTCTCTCTTTCTCTCTCTCTCTTTTCTTCTACATTTCCCTCTGTGTCCTTCACTCTCTGTGTTTATCTTCTGCTCTTGCGTCTCTGCTGTGTGGCTGAAAGACTTGCTCTCTATAATATCCATCTTGACATTACTAGAACAACGCTCTTATACGTCGTTGTGATAACTAGGAATAGTTAAATTCTAAAAAAAAGTTATCACAACTCAAGAGTTTAAAAGATAATGAGTTAATTTAATGGGATCCTAAGAAAACTCTTTTTAAAATAGTGTTTGAGCTCAAATCATGGTTAAAATCAATTTAAAATAAATATAGAAGCATGAAAATTAAATCACATCAAATTAGGCTAAAATAACCCACTTTTCTAAAAAAATTTCTAACCCATCCACCGTGGTGGATGGCATAGAGGAAAGAGTCCCTTGAAGGTCCCTTACGCCGTGGTGCGTACTTACTGTCATGACAGCAGAGTGTTATCGTGACAGCCCTTCGAACTTCTGAAGCACGTCGTTTCACCATTCGACATCCAATTTGAGTAGTTTAAGTGTCCACACGAAGCTCTTTAAGCCCTCTAACTAGTGGCACTAGTCTTATACTCAAATACCTATCTTTTTAAAAGATAGACATCCAAACTTAAAATGGTTTGTTTTCACTTTAAAACACACACAATGGAGTCTAACTTACAATGCCAAATGCCATTAACCCCAAAGACACTTTGACCACTTTAAATGGACTAAACACAACATGATAATTCATTCATATCACACAAATAAATAATCACGCTCAAAATGACCACCAAACCCCCATTTGACAATAACACAAAGGGGTGGATTGTATTTAGCACACATATCAACTTGGTCATTTTAAGCACATAATTCACTTCAAATTCACCATTTGTAATTGTAACTTAGTTCAACATACATAAATAATCCACCACATTAACCTTGGACTAAGATACACATACTTATAATAAACCATACAAGTGATATCTAAAATAATGTTGTGTTCTTAAGTTGGCATTATATATTGACAATTCTCGTTATAATACCCAAAAAGAAGAAAAGGGAAGAGCTATACAACTATGCTCTTCACTCTTCAAACGCTTCTTCTTTCCCTTTACCCCTATCGGAGCCTTCACCTGTAAAATATAACCATAGGATGAGATAAATATTTCAGTAACCAATATAATTCATCAAATTCTTATTACCATAAATAACCATGATAAAGTATCAAAACTAAGATAATATCAAGTATACCATATTTATAAGATAAGTGCATCTTTTCACAACAATTCCACACAATTTCATATAGTTTCATACTATTTCACACTAGCATGATCATCTAACCACCAAACCTCCAATGCTCCCCGATATAAAACCATAGGCTCTCTTAGATCAACCACTTGTTGACCCAAGCTCACTTTCAATAGTAGAAATACTCGACCAAAGGTAATCTAATCCGCTTACGGATTATGGTTTTTTCCCTCTTCACACACTTGTGATAGAGGCATTGTTGACTCCCAACCGCACCTTAACGGGTACTAGGGAGTTACCAGACTGCCCGGATATTCCATAATAATAGTCCCATATAATGCTACATCGGATGTCCCATGGTATTAATCCGACCATATGAATTTTTCACTCACATATCTTTACACACATACATCCTTATATATCTCGGGTGAATTCTCACCCCCTATGATCATGCTTTTTCACACTTATCATTGCTTATTTGTAACATTCAAGAAAATTTAATCTTCATTTATTAACCTAATAAGGGTAATTATTAAGTTAATGATGTGTATGGCCAGAGGGGCTTAACTTAGTGTATTTGTGGTGATTTCAGCCTTAAAAGTGGTTTCGAATCGATGGCAGGCTACTCGGCAAGGAAAAAGGAAGAAAAAGTAAAGAATTATCCTCTGTGTCACATGTCGCAGCGCACAAAGACAAATTTGAATAATGGGCTCCTTTGTGCCATGTGTTGTGGCAAAGGGTAGCGTGCACTGTGGCGCACAGCCAAAATTAAATTCATTTTTGTATGAGAAAAATAGAAAAGAGGAAGGAGAAACCGAAGAGCTCTTCTTTTGCTCTGCTAGGGCACATTGTGGGATCACATTGAGGCTAGATTGAAGCTCCTTAATACTTAAGGTAAGTTTATGGTGCCTTCTTCTTCCTTTCTCTCCCTCATTTATGATAATTTATGGTAGAGTTTGACTTGAAAGATGGATTTTTGTTCTATGGGAGTATAGATTTGATTCCATTAGTTAAAATGAGTATAATGGGAGTTGTTTAAGGTATTAGAATACCACATTGATGATTTTGGAAGTAGATGGTCTATAAGAGCATTTAATATCTAAAAATTTGCATAAATATGGTAGTTGGGAGAGGTTTATATACATTAATGATATTTTCAAGTATTAGTAGTGATAATGTGCATTAATAAAATTTAATGAGCCCATTGGGTATGAATGGGTAGTGATTATGAGTTGATAAAAATAGAGTGTGTGAAGTTATATGTTGGTAAAACTTTAAGAGTTAGACAATAATGATATTCTTGTAGTATGAATGCAGTGAGATTTGTTTTTGGCACCATTCGAGCTTGTTGAAGCTTTGGAAAGTTGGTATAGTGAGGGGTAAACTTTTGACCTCTCAAAGGTTTAAGGTAACAGGGAAAAACTTAACTTTTATGATTGAATATTAATTGTGTTTGTAAAATATGATTAATGATTTAAATGTATGATGCATGCTAGCAATGTTTGACTTGTGAAATGATTTTGGAAAGAAAATGTTGATTATGCCACTTACTTATGATTTAAAAGTTTACTTGTGGCATGTTGTTACAAAAGTGAAGATTTGTGATTTATAATATGTTGAATGTGTGGGGTAATTTAAAATGAGTATATGAGATTGTTTGCCATAAATTTATTATTAAAATGCATAATATGTGATAAATGTGCACAGCATGATCATTGGCGGGAAGTCGTCTAGGGAGAAGAGTAGATTGATTTAAATTCACATGATATTGGCAGTGATCATTAAAATTAAGAACTAGCCTTGGCACCGACCGTTGGAATCGGGAGGTAGCCCTTATCCCACAATTGATTTGGGACTGTCCCACTTGTTTTATGAAGGACTCGAACCTAACTAGTCTCCACCGATTCATGAGAAGGCCAGATTAAGGATATGACATCCCATGCTTATTAGTATTGAGGGAAACCAGATTACAAAAGTGAGTAAGTTAACCCTGGCCTGGTAGCTCCTTACTGGTGGAAGGTGGGGTTAGTCCGTAAGGATGTAGCCACGTGATAGCCATCGGTTTCGTGTCGGAGATATAAAATTGATATATGATCATACATATAAGTCTGGCCATATAGTTGTTAGTTTTGTAGTTCGGCATGTGTTGAGGGTGCATGGTTGTTATTTTTATGACTCTGTATTATGTTTTTGTAAAATAACATGATAAAACATTTTATGGCAAGTCCAGTCACATAGTTGTTAGTTTTGTGAACTATGGTCGAGTGTTGTATGTTATTTGTGCTTATTTGTCTAATTGCATCTATTTATAATTAATATGCAACTGTACAGGTTAAATGAAACTTGGCTACTAAGTGGTTGTACTTGCCTCTCAATTTTTACTATTTTTAAGACCTAGCTCATCGAATCTGAGTCAGGGAAAACATACAGAGGCCTAGGATTGTGGAGTAATCCTATATATGCCTCTCTTTTGTTACTTTCATGTGTATTTGTTAATGTAATTGCCAATTAGGACTATTTGACATGATTCATGTACTACTTACATAATTTTGTATATAGCTAGTGTATTTTGTGCCTTGGGTTAGTGAGTTTCAGTTGTGAACCTGTTGATAGGGCCAAAATACTTACGCAAGTAGAAACATATATATTTTGAAAAATTTAAAATGAAATTATTAATTTTGTGCAACATTCCCTCCCCCTATATATCTTGTGAAATTTGGGGTTGAGTGGTGGTTTTATGATATAAGTGTTTTTAATTGTGTGTGGTGTATTACACGAGTCCGTTAGAGACTATTGAGTGTAGTCAAATGGTTGGTGTGAGCTATTGGCACGTGTGGTTGAGTTGGGATACCTATTTGTGAAATTTTGTAAAAAAGTGGTCAAAATGAGTTTTGATGTCTAACTTTTTATAGAAAATAAGGTTGAGTGTGAAATTGGTGTCATTAGCTAGAGATAGGAGAAAGCTCCGTGTAGATACCGAAACCACCTCAATTGGATATCAGACGGAGATTTAGGACGCATCGAAAGTCCGCTCCTTGTGTTGTCAAATGACAGCACTGATGCTGTCAAAATTCGTGTAATGCGCCACGACGCATGGTACAGAGAAGATGAGCCACGGCGCACATGACATATGTTGCATAAAATTTGTTTTTTAGTTTTAAAATTCATTATTTTAGGTCTTAATTAATTTTCAAGCTTCTGCTTTACTTTTAAAACTTTAATACGAACTTATTAAATAATGTTTGAGATTTGAATTGTTGAAATTGGGATTCCTTTGAAAGAATTTGAGAAATTTCCTTTATAAATCTATAATTTGGTAATCCTTAAGGGTTAAATCTTAGGTTGCCATCTTTGGAGTCAAACGTGATTTAGTAAGGGAAACCTTTCAGTTTGGTCTCTTAGATGCTACATTATCCACATTTTCACAACATATACTTTCATATTATATATATATATATATATATATACATACATATCTTGTGAAATTAATGACTTTTCAAAAATCCATTTCACAAACCAATATTCATGCTAAAAATCATTTTTCAATATTAAATCATGCACAAAATTCTTAAACCATAATTTCATTACTTTGTATTTACTTCTACACAGTTATAATAGTTAATAAACACAATAAATTATATGGTTACCTTAACCCTTTATCACACAAAAGGGTTACCATGGCTCAATGTTAACTCTGCACGTTCTATACGCATGATGTAGAGCAATGCTCAATCTACACAATCAACTGACAATCATTAATTATCACTCCGGATAACTTCGAATTCACTAGGTTTTAAGTGTCTAAAATACCTAAATTCCTTTTCTAACAACATCAACCATTTTCAAACACTCTAACCATCTTCTTAAACATCCCAACACACTAAAATCACTAACTAATATCCCACATTGTCTCAAAATCATCAAATTACATCTAGGGTTCATCTAAACCCTTACCAAAAGTTTTCAATGACCACGAAACTCATAAACTTAAGATTAAAGGCTTGATTTAACTTTTCAAAAATAAACCAATGAGTTCAGTCTAAACCTAAGGGAACCAAAATTAAAGCCCATATTGCCCCACCAATCTAGATTTTCGCATAATGAGGGAGAAGAGGGAATGACAAACTTATCCAATAGTGATTCAAGCTCCAAATACTTTTAAAATAGTCTAGGGATCATGCCTTAATAGACCAAGAGCTCTTCTCTGTCACTCTCTCATTTTTCCTTCTTTCTCTCTTCTGTTTTTCAAGTCTGATTCGTGATTTAGTAAGTGCAGATTTTGCACATGCGCCGTAATGCATTAACACGCTTACTGTGACTTATGGCACAGAAAGTCCCATAAAATTTTAAACTCCCTTTCATGCTATAACTCACTCAAATGTAGCCTTAGCCCTCTTTTAAGACTATCTAAGGATTTAAAAATTATATTAGTCTCTCATAAACCTCGTTAATTAATAATTTATCTAAATTGACCAAATTACCTTTGAAAACATTGATAATTACTAATTTGAAAACTTAAGATGTTACACTCTCTGCGTCTGCATGTGTATCTGCTCTCTATGTTTCTCTTCTTTTTTGGCTTCCTTGTTTTTAGTTGAAATGTGTGGTGCTCTTTCTCCACATTTGCGTGAGTTCTCTCCCTCTTCTTCTTTTTTCTACATTTTTGGCTACTCTCTAGTCGAAAGTGTGCTGTGTCTCTATTCTGTCTCTACTTCTCCATTTTTTTTTTGTTCACGTGTTTGGCTGAAAGGTATGGTTCTCTACGTCTTCGTATGTTTCGTGTGCACCTTTGCTTGCTTTCTTCGTTTGACTTTTCATCCTCAATTTCTTCCTCTGCTCTTCGCCTATGGCTTGATCAACATGACTAGCATTTTTTTTTTTCTGCTTTGTGTTTTCTAGGTTTCGTCTGCTCTCCCTCTCATCTGCTCTCTTTCTATCTGTGTGTGTACTCATACGAGGAGGAGAGACTAGGGCTGGGTGAAACACTGCAGAGATCAGCGTTTCACTCACCCTATGTATTTTTTATTTTTTTATTTTTTTGTTTAAAGATTTTTTTAAAAGGTAATTTTTAGAAATTAATTAGGAAGAAAAATGTGATTTTGAATTGACTAAGAATATTCTCTCTCTTTTTTTTAACTCTCACTAATTTGATTGCTATTGTCTCTGAATTGTTGAGATAATGAGAGAGATTTTTTAAGATTTAAGCAAGATATATTTTTTTATTTTTTAAAATTGATTCAAAAGACCAATTAAATTTATTTATCTTCTTTATTTATTATTATTATTTTTTAAAATATAATTCCTAAAAAGGATTAAATTTTGCTTTTTTGTATTTTTATATTTCTTGGTTATTTTAATAAACTAAAAGAAATAAAATCTTCATCAACAAAAGATTATCTAGATTAAAATAAAATTAAACCCTATTAATTAAAGTTTTTTTTATTTTTAAAATATAATCCTAAAAATGATTAAATTTTATTTTTGTATTTTTATATTTTTTAGTTGAATTTATTATTATTTTTATTAAATGTAAAAAATATCTAGAAAAAATACGATGTTCACAGTTTAGCATCCCCTGACTTTAGCAATTATCTAATGAGTTATGGCATATATTTTCTCCTATAAAATACTATTAATTATTTTTTATATTAGAAATTCTTTAATGAGATATTGAAAATAAATTCAATTTTTCATGGCACATCGTGTTTTAATTATTGTACTCTTACCTTTATATAAGGTTATTGTTATGTTTTAAGATTTTGTTTTCAATTATTGTAATCTTTTAAGAATATTTTTATTTTGCTTGGGCCTAAAATAAAGCAATGATTGATTGTAGCTCAAAAGTATAAATGAGGAAATGACAACCCCAATAAGCTATCAAATAAGAAAGGCCTAATCTTTTTAAACAGGGACCTTTTGAATTAAGTAAACGCTGAGTCACGAAAAAAAATGTGACTCTTAAGACTTGAAACAACTAAGCCAAGAGGACTATAATTTGGATGTGAGACCATTACTTGGATATGTCCCGAATCTTGCAAGATTGTGCATAGTAAGAGCAGATATTTTGGCACAAAGCATCTGGGCTGCCAGATTTGCAGACATAACAACCTCAGATGTACAGCATAAATATGGTTCAAGAGAGAAAAGAAAGGCACCAATGAACAACAACACAACTCACACAGACACTTCGTTGTTCAATTTTTGCTTTATCTTTTTGTACTCAGAATTTCAATTTTCTTTTAATTATGTAATTTTAGGTAACTTTATACCATTAATCAAGTTACCTTCTTCCACTTATCAATTGCACCTTTTGCGTCCGAATAAACTGAGATAGCAAAGCAAATAGGCTTGGAATGGGTTAACAGAAACAGGCTTGGATGTTGGGTTGTGGACCCAATATTTAGTCGAAGTTGTTTGTAATCTTCTGCCCTTCGGGCTTTTGTCCCTCCGCGAGCCCCATTTTTCAAAGCTTAACACGCCTTCCATTTTATTATGAAACATAAGATCATCGAAATTGATCAACAGTCACGGATCATGGATTATATAAGACATACGCATGAAATTTCCTTTAACTTAAGAGGAGTAAATTGCTCATTGTTTTTTAAAAGTTATTCACCTCTAACTCCTTTGGAACCGGTTAGATATTTGATGATTTTTTACGGGACTTTTGGATATTTTGACAGTTTGTTTGGAACTTTATAATGATTTTCCCTAATAATTCTCACATACTTATTTGTCATTTTCTCAATTCTATAATAGTGTTGTTTAAATTTATTTGGACGACTGTGCCTGTTTCTCCAGCGGAAAAGGAGGCAAACTTCATGGAGCTAATAATACCAACAGTAGACGCGGATCCTTGCGTGATGTTGGAGCATATACTATATACAAAGGGAGGCGCCGAATTAGAGAACGAAAAGACACAAAAAAGCGATTTGGGATGGATCCTGATCGTCCCTCTCTTGTCATCCAAATGATAAAGCACATTTGTGTCAGAGCATCTCCAGAAAACACTTCTCCTTCACAACTTGGGCAATTTTCTCCTGTTTTTCTCTTCCTTCTCAAGGTTTGATCGATGTTTAAAATAATATATGAATTTGAAGTTTGATGATATTTTGACTATTTAGTTCCTTTTTGCTTGCTTGCAGGAATTTTTTCTGGACGTAACAGAAGATAACAAAAAAATAACTCCTCGCTGCAACTTGGAAGTTGGTGACAATCAGGTTTTTTTTCCCCCCAGTTTATATCCCATTCCTCTGAGCCTGCATGAAATCATGTCATGAATATTTCTGGATAATATGAGACTTTTCAATTATACAAGTTAGGCCAAACTATTCACAAGCTAATCTAGTTTTCACTAACTAAAAGAGTCGATTATCAAGAACTAAATCTATGTTATTTAGCCTATAGACTCATGATTCAACTAGTTTATGGCAAGGAAAAAAATAACAAGACTTAATTGACCTTATGCCGCTGAATTGATCTTTGATACAGATAGTTAATTCATGTCAATTTCTAATAAATTTTCTCATTCAATCAATATGAGAACTAAAAAAAATGATGGTTCATATTATATAAATATAAGAATATAATAAAATATTATTAAATATTTTTTAGAAGTTTTAACTTCTCAAATAAAATATTAGTATCTATTTTTTAAAAAATAATAAAGTCAGATTCTTAAATTTTTAATTTCTATTCATTCATGCTCAAACGTAACACACTTTTTAATAAAAAAAAATATTTTTTAATTTTTTATATTAAAAATATTTATTCTAAAAGAGTAGGATTCTTTTCATAAAAATAGACTATTAATAGCTACTACATATTCCATCATTTTCAACACAAATTTTTCTTACATTAAGATAATTTTATTTTTTTAAGTTATTATAATTTTATATTTTTTTATTGTTTCTTATGTGTAATGAAATTATTTTTATTAATTTAATACATATTTATAATTATATTTGAAAAATATTAATATTTATTTTATATAAGTCTTGCCTCTTTTAACAAAATTTCCTGTCACTGCTCTGTGGTTGCCAATCATCTGACAATATCAATCTCTAGATTCAAGATTCTGTTCAAGCTTTATTCTCAGATGAGGAATGCTCCACCTTAGATAATGAAAGCTATTTTCAGGAATTTGATAAAAAATCGGTTAGTAACTCACCATCCTTATCATAACGAAAGCTACTTGCAGCAATATATTGTTTTTCAAACTTATTTTGTCATTAGCTTTATAATCTAGCGCACAATTATGTCATGAAGGTTCATCTTCAATATGCAGTTGGACAAATTAAGACTTGAATTTCGATTTTGTCTTGAAGCATTGATGGAATTTGTTGTTGAGAGAGTAAAGCCAAAGCAAGTTGGAGCAACCATGACGACAGATCCTATGCTGGTTGGTATTTTAGCTGTGTATACTAGAATGATTATTTGCCCAAACGTGTGATTTTTTTTTTCTTTTTAAAGAAGATGGTTTTGATAGTGAATTGTGTTTTATGTTATTTAATATAATTATCTACCCTAAATTTTTTGTTATCTATTCTTTGCTCATGGATTGTGATCACAATGTTGAGTGAGGCCAAAACAAATTAACATGTCTCTCTTGACTTTTTGGAAGTTTTTACCTTGAGTCAAAGTATTTCTCTAATCCCTATTATAAGGCATATTTTAAAAAAGATTATTTGACCCTTAATATAAAAAACTTAATGGAATATTAATGATGTTTTTTAAATAATATCCTATATAAATTCATTAACTATGAGAGAGAATATAATGAAAACTTGAAAATTTTTTCACTTAAATATTGTAATATTGAAAGTTTATACTATTTTCAGATAAAGTTAATAACTCAACAACCTTTACTTGATTTCGGTGAGATAATTAAAAATGTCTTGTAATAAGAATTAAAAAAAGTATTCTCTTTTCTCTTCAGCCAACTACAAGAATTTTAAACTTTGGGGTAATGTGTTCTTTTGGGACTTAAACTAGTATTCTCTTTCAGATGGAGATTTGTAATATGATTTATGAGGACCAAGCTTACATTGTAATATTGAAAGTTTATATTATTTTCAAATAAAATTAATAACTCAACAACCTTTACTTGATTTTGGTGAGATAATTAAAAGTCTTTTGTAATAAGAATTGAATGAAGTATTCTCTTTTCTCTTCAACCAACTACAAGAATTTTAAACTCTAGGGTAATGTGTTCTTTTGGGACTTAAACTAATATTCTCTTTCAGACGGAGATTTGTAATATGATTGATGAGGATCAAGCTTACACATTTTAAGATTATATTATTATATCTCTAGCTATTTTTTGTAGGCAGTTGAGTCAGATAAAAGAAGTGATGAGTCAGAAATATGGGCGTTGAGGTTGAGGTTACAAGATGTTAATAGGAAACTTGAGGAAAGATGTAAAAATGGTGAAAAAGACAAGGATGAAATGCAGAATCTGGCGATGAAATTACTTTCTTCACAAATGGAGAAGGCTGAGAGGAAAATTGAGGATCTAGAGAGAAAGAACCAAGAATTGGAAGCTGAATTGATAACAGCTAAGGAATCAAAGAAGAAACTCCTTTCCAAGCTAGAGGAATGCACCACGAGAGTGAGAGCTTCCTTCCAGGAGGCCAGTGATTTCTTATTGGAAATAAGACGGGACAGAGAACGAGCAAGGGAACAAGAAATCTTGGCAGAACGGTAAAAAAAAAAAATAAAATAATAATAATAATAATAATAAAGAAATTAATTTAGTTTGATTTCCTTACAATGTTAGTTTTTATAGTTGTAAAAATGTATAAATATATGACGCCTGTGAACTGACACTAACTTAAATTAATTGGTAGAATTCTGCTAGTTTTTTTATTCACATATTTTACATACTTTCATTTCACGTTTCTTGTTTTTTAACACTTATTTGAAACTATTTAAACTTAAATGGAAAATAAATATTTTTATATTTTATTAAATATTATTTTTAATTTTTTTAAAAATATTTTTTTATTGACTTTATTATTTTGTATATATGTAGCTGGATACATCGAGAATAAAAAAAGTCCTGCTGCTCTGTCGTTCATTCTAACCCACCCGCCCCTTCTCCTACTTGGCATCCACTAATGCATTCACGCAAGAGTTCCAATTTCAGATTCATTCGCTCCGATTCGCATCACTTCGTTTCCGCCTTTTCTCTCTGGTTTGCTTCTTTCTCTCTCTAATTTTCCAGCTAGCTGCGTACTCACAGCTCAATTCACCAGATCATAAATCCAATCCATACAAATTCATCCTCTCACCCTCCTCGACAAAACCTTACCAAATTTTCCATATCATTCTCCCTTCCCTATTATTGTAATTGAGAGCGGCTTGAGTCCAAAGCAACAAGGTCGCTAAGCTCGTTCTAGTTTTAGCTTTTCTACCTTTCTTTTCGCAATTTTATCTAGCTAGTTCAATTGTTGGATTGGAATTGTTGTAAGGATTTACATTTGAATGATTGTTCGTTTGTGGCGGATTAGACTTTGTTATTTTGATGCTTGGATTTTTGGATGGATTTCAAGAAGTTGTTCTTCGATTTTCCCCTGTCGTGAGCTTTTGGTCATATTCAGGTCCAAAAAAAAAAAAAACAAAGAAAGAAAGAAAAGCTTGCGGTCATATTGCTTTACATCGTGAAGTCACTTTGTCTTAAGAATTGGCACGCCTAATTACTCTTTAAACTTGGATTTATTGATTACTTAGGGAACTTTGGTGGCCGTTCTTGGCATTAGAATAGCAAGGTACACAGTGGAAGCTTAATGGAGGAGGCCTAACTAATAGTTGTTTGGTTGTGATTAAGTTTACTAAGTTTAGGAAGTCTTGAACTACAAAAGACCAATGAGCACACTCACTTTCTCTCAATTTGGAAAAAAAAAAAAAAACAAGAAGAAGAAGAAAGAAATACTAGTTTAGGATTTAAAAATTCTTGCAATTAGGTAAATAATTCCCAAACACTTTTGTAGTTGTTTTTCACATTTTAAAGTTCAATTTAATTTCTTTCAAGTCGAACTCATTGGAAATTCGACCTAAGTTGACATTAGTTACTCTTGTGAAATTTAATTAATTGAGGCATAGGGGACTAGTGCTTTTCAACATGGTAAAAATATGTTGACGTGGAAGTAAATTGATTAGGTATGATTAAAAATAAAAGGCAAGGGAACCAAAAAAGGTTTTCTGGTACGTTTGGATTAAAAAAAATATGGGAGAAGAAAGCAAGATTAACATACATCAACAATGAGGTTAATAGAATTAAGGATACATCAGGAAAATTAACTCTAACAACATCAACTAGTGCTGTCCTTATATGTATTTTTAAAATTATAGGGACTAACTTTACATACAGATCAAATTAAAGGGACTGGGAATAACAAAATAAAAATATAAGGACCAAAAACAAAGTGTAATTAAAGTATATATAGGAACCTAATATTGTATTCTCTCAATATATATATATATATATATATAAAATATAATATAAAGTGCCCAAAAGAAAAGGAAACAAGATGAACTAATCTATTTGTGTCAATCCTGTAATGGGATGCGTACTGTTATTACTTGAGATATCATTTATAATATTTCAAGGGACAAGAAGGTTGACAATACATGTTTCAAGTAAATAACCTTGTAAAAATCAATGCAACTTCATAAAAAAAATTCTCAATACTTTTACTATAAATGATATATTAACATGATGGAAGTTGTATAACATCCTAGATTTTTAATAATCATTTAATTATGAAAATTAAGGTGTTATCGAGGAGTTTCTTTGAGGACTGATGATATCTTAAGGTGATATTAGGAAATTAAATTGCAATTGAGGTTATTGAGGTTAAATTATATGATTAAGGGTGTAATTATGATTTAATTTGGGCCTAGAAGGATATGTTAGGGTTGAATAAAAACCAAATAAGTATGGTTCTAAATTGGGCCTAAATTGTAGGGCTAAATGGAGTGCTTTACTTCTATATCATGTGCCATGATGCATGGTGCATCCTCCTCAGCACATGATACAAAATTATATATATATATATATATATGTTCGACAGACAGACACGAGGGAGAACAATTTTTGAGAGTTTGAGGTAATTTTCAATGGTTCTATTAGGGTTTTAGAACTTCTAGCCCTGAGGCATGATTTTGGGGCTAAATTCACTTAAGGTAACCACTCTAACCTCTTCCTTAGCTTCCACTCTCCTCTTTTAATGCATTTTAATGATGTTTGGGTTTAGGGTTTCGAAGTTCTACAACTCCTACCCTTAAGTTCCGATTATATGGGTGTTTTGAGGTTTAATAACTATTATTTAAGTTGTTGGGAGACTAATAACTGTGGTGGTTAGGTTGAATTCGAAACCTTGGACCTTATTAGGTGAATTCAATGATGATTTGAGTTATGTAAAGGTAAAGTAAGTATTTAAGAAGTATAATGATGATGATTTCAAGTGAGTTTGAGGTTGTGGATGATTATGACATATTTGAGTTAGTTTGATTAATTATCCTAACCCTAGGATTAGGGCTTGATTAATGTGCTAACAATTTGATTAGTGTTAATTAGCATTGTATTAACTATAATTATTACTACAATGTGTCTAGATTGTAATATTGACACTGTTGGAGGTGATAACAGACTAGTGCAGGGAGCTTTTATGGAAAGGGGTAAATGTAACTACTATTAATATATGATTTTGTGCGTTTTATAACTTGTCATGTGTTTTGTTTGGTTGTTTAGAAATTAATATGTAAGAAAAGCATGTTTTGTTGTTTGGAAATAATTTCCAAGTGGGATGATTTATATGTATATGTAATAATATGCTAATGTTTGGGTTTATGTATGAGAAATTGTCTTTATCAAAAATATATATATATATATGAGAAATTGTTCGATTGTTTTTGTCTGATTGTTTATAGGCATGACTTGTTGAGATTTGTTTGGAAAATATCTCTTGTTTAGGTATTTTGTCTAGTGTTGATAATCTACCAAATGGTAAGCCCTCATTGGATTTGGACCTAATAAGTGACTATTAGTTTGGATCAACCTACCTTTGATAGGGTGATTTGGTTCAAAGCACGAAGTTAGAAGGCATATAAGGTGTTGTCATGTTAAAATATAATTTGTTTGGTTTTTGTCTAGATATTTATTGTTTGGAAAAAATCTTGCATACTTCACGTAGCAATCGCATGATATGTTGCATTATATGCATAGTCACATATTAATTTTGGTTATTGAGGCTTTAAATCTCACCCCCTATGGTTAATATTCTAGAAATAATTTAGTCGAGAAAGCACCAGAGGCATAGTTGGTGTAGGTAGATACCACTTGGCCATGTTGGCCCTTTTTGGTTTAGTATATGTATATTTGCTAATTATAGGGTATTGTTTTGAGAATTGTGAGCATGTGACTCGTATTTGATATAACTTGTAATTAATGGCCATGAAGTTTATTTTTGTGACGTTCATGGCTTTTTAAGTATGAATTGTGATTTTTAAATCATTATAATGAAGCATGTTTTGATTGGTTAATATTATTGCATTTCATCCACAAAACTATGTTTGGTAGATGTAACCTAATTATGAAGATTTTACATGCATGTGTCAAGTTGTGATGGCTAGATTGTTGTTTGGAGTGAATTTGATTTGGTCAAGTGTTCCACCCATTGTTGAGGCTTTAATTTTTTATTTAAAAGTGTTTTATGTTTGGAAAAATAGTATTTTATCCTAAATTATGTTTCAGTAGACAAAATTATAAGCATTGAAAGTTGCTAATTTTTTATAGTTCTGCACTGTGCTAATATAGCACTTGCACTGTGCCGCACATCATAGAGAATGAAAAGCATGTAACATCTTGAATTCTTGTCTGAAAACTAATTTCTAATTAGGGGTAAATTAGTAAATTAGTTGATTAATTGAATAATCAAGATTTTGAATAGTGAATTGACTTTTTGATTTATTGGATAATTGAATGATCAGGATCAAATGAAAGAATTGTGTTTTAGGGCAAAACATGTGTGCCACAATAGAAGTTCCCTTATTGTGCAACATGCTGTAGCATGCGCATTATGCGCTGCAATACATGAATCCAAATTTGACTTTTTAAAAAGGGGGTCAATTTGTGATTTTGAAAGGAAAAAAGGGGAGAGACAGTGAAAGAGAGGGAGAAGGGAATTAGCTATGCTAGGGCATGTGATTTTAGGCTACTAGGAGATATTTTCAACTTGTTACTTGTCGGTAAGTTTCGTATCTCCCTACTCTCTTGTTTTATCTTAATTTCTCTTAGTTTGATATATAGAAAAATTAAATTAGGAAGTTTTAAAGAGTTGTTTTCTCACTCAATAGTTATAAAAAAGCTATTGGGAGTTAAATTAAAATGTTGTGATTGGGTTAGGGGTTAATAATTGAGCTTTGAAGTTATAGACTCAATGTAGCACAAATTGGAAAGCTTAAAAGGGTAAAATTCTTGTATGGATTGTATAGAGGCTAACAGAAGTTGTAAAAGGACTATAGAGGGTGGTTAGGACTTAAGGTTGACAAGTGAAAGTGATTAGGTGGTTAATTTAGTTTAAACGTATTACTTAGTGCTTGTGGTCAATTTGAAAATTGACTTATAGTGCTAAATTGTGTAAATTAGCATGGCTTACAAGCTATTTTAAGTGGTTGATAGCTAAAAGCGTAAAGAGCAC